ATGTGTGTAGGACCCCAAAGGATCACCATTAAATTTAGCATACATCTCTAAAAAAGTTATCACATGGATGTGGGACTTGACTTTTCTAGAGATGTGTGTCAAATTTAATGGTGATCCTTTGGGGTCCTACACACATGGGTGTGGGAGGGTCTCATAGGATCATTACTCAACAATAATTACCAACTGGAAAATACGACTAAATTGCGAAACAGACCCCCTTTATTAAGCATTTGAACAGAGTTTTTTGAGATGACCAAGCATAAACACCACAAAGAATAATCAAGTAAAAGAAGGGAAGAATTATTTTTAAGCACCAATACTTAAAATGACTAACCTTCAAAGTGAATCTAGCAAGTGAAGCCAATACAGTATACATGATCGTCCCTGCAACCCACATATATCCGGCCACCAATCATCAAAGGCGAAGAGAATATATGCCCTGGAAGGTCCATTTTTGCAAACTCAAATGAAACTGGACACTCTGAAGCTGCCGCCTCTTTATGTATATTTTCAGCTGATATTTTTGATCTAACTCTAATCACATGAATGATTCCGGAGGAGCTACAAACACAGGCTAGTCTGACAAATAACGAAAAAAAAATGAAGGGAATAAAACATTAGTAGTAGTTGAGGAGAAAACCATGCCCCATCATACAGTGTAGAAAGAATGACCTTTGGAATTGAAGCAACTCCGAAGGGTTTCTGCTACCTTAAAATCGAGTTCTTGGGAAATCTTTTATAGATAAAAAATTCTCTTATTTTGGGAATGACATTTTTTTGGCAAAACATGGAAAAAAGAGTAAGAAAAGATTTAAACCATTCCTCTGTGAAGTATTTATGCATAATATCCTGTAAATGTTTCCGAGAGTTTTGCCTATATGAGAAAAACATAAATAAATAATAGCAAAATAAACTCATATAGCCAAAAAAAATAGGATTATAATAATAAAGGGTACACCCCATTTGTTACGAGAACTTTTTAATTTTCAAAAAAAAAAACTGGAACATATTATCAATGATCCAACATATTCGTATAATATTGATTGAGATGGTGATATACCTGCATATTATATTGTCAGGCCACAACATGAGTTCTATATTTTCATCAACATAAACAGAAGAAGTAATTGGCTCTCCAAACTGATGCTCCCAAAATAGATTTCCCTTCTCCTGGAATCAGAAAGAAAAAAGAAACAATGCGTAATGACTAAAAAAAATTCAATGGTTCCTCTCAAGAAGTTAACAGTGCTATTTTTTAAGGTGATTGTCTTAAAAATTAGGAACTCCTTTTCTTAACCAACAGAAACACTCACTCTGGCTAAAAGGTAACAGAACAATAACAAGTCCAAACATCTTACATAAGGGAATGACATTTTTGCATTTCACAATTTTCAAAATAACTAGGATCAAGGATCAGTAGATTTCTACAATTAAAATACAAAATTATATCAATCAAGACAACAATGAACATAGTTGCCATTTTATTCTTAGTCAATGAAAACTAGATTATCATAGATATAATAAAATCAACACTCCAAGAAATCTAGATTATCATAGTTAAGACCCCAAATTCACCTTTTCATTCTTCCAAAAGCAATTTTTAAGGGTGGTTTTTACATATATCTGCTATTGCATTGGTTAATTCAAGGTAACACCTTTTGGAAGAAACTTTAAGTAAACTCAAGTCTTGTCACACCAGTTCAAAAGATGCCAAATTTTGGTATATTCCATCCTAGGAGCTGCTTCAGTGTAGCTTCTTTCTAATTACTTGGAGTAAGTTTTTCTTATGAATCCTTTTTTTTTAAGGGTCTAAGAATAACACCTTTCCACTGCAATCATCTTCACTACCAATCCAAAGATTTCCTCTAGTGACTCTTTAACAAAGGAATCCATCTTCATATTGCAATATGAAAGACAACATTCTTGGATGGTAGCCTATGGTTACACTTCAAAGGATAAATATACCAGAAAGATCACAACAGACACTTGATTAGTCTAAAGAAAAATGTAAGAACTTCAAACACAGTCTTGCGTTCACTTTAACACTCATTATAAAAAGCTGCCTTGAGAGAGCACCGTGCAGGAGAGGAGAACTAAGAGCATGTGCAAAGATAGCAAATAGCTAATTCATTATTTCGTGAGGTTAAAACTTTAGAAACTTACCACATGAAATGAGTAGAGAGAGCCATTTCTCGAACATATCAGTACCTGTCAGGAAATCCAATAAACAAAATGTGACCACTACATTTGGCATCTCTATGACAGAGGCTCATTGATGCGGAAAGCCTTTTTAATTTACTAGTGCACATCAAATAATTTCCAAGTCAAGTCTACACAGGTAAATTTCCAGGCATGATTGGACATGATAAGGAGATCTTCTATTTTTGACATTAAGTGAACTTTAATATCAGACCTAGCAAAGAAAAGGATACCTGAGGATAAAGTGCCGGTGAAATACATGCTCCAGCAAATATTGGACCACCTGTGACTGCCTGAAATCCAGTAATTTTATCAAATTGAAGGTGCCAAATAAATGTAACAAAGATCAAGAATATTTCATCTCAGAAATTGAGATTTAAAAAATCATATATGTACATGGCAAATGCATTTTATATGTGCATGGGGTATTTCTGTAATTTTTAGAAGTTCTGTGCTTCATACTCTTTACGGTGAAAGACTATTATTTCTTTTGGGTTGAACTGTAATGGTATCATGGCCATAACTCCTTGATTCATGGCCATAACTCCTTGATTCCATGGAGCCTTTTTGTGATAACTAGTTTGGAATACTTGAGCGCAGCTCAAATCTTCAACAAGTAAATATTCAAGTCACATGAATCCCTAAGTACCCACCCTCAGCTTTGCTTTGATTCAATCAACATTCTGTATTAGATAGGTACATTTCTTTCATAACACATTTTTCTCTTTCCATTGGAACATAGGTACCCCTAATTTGGTTCTTTTCCATTCCTTTCAACTGAAATGGCGTGATCCGACCTCTAAAGACATAGATGGTATATGAATCATTCCTGAAAGTTTGAAATTTACATGAGGCATACCTTCCAGACAACAGAGCCTCTGGAATTCAACACAATGACTTGCCCATTCACCAAGCAACATATAACTGGATAAGCAACACCACATCAACATAATGAGAAAGGTGAAATGATGATCCATTCATTGGATGTGTCCTTCAATAGTTTCTATTCAGCGTAAAAAAGAAAATTTTTATTAATTACAAGAAAGAACAAATTTTCAATTACAGATATTTCCAGAAAAACAAAATACAAGTAATTTTCATTTATTTTGAAAATACAATATTAGTGGATTTATCTTAGCTAGCTAAAACAAATGACACACCATTTCCATTAGAAGAAACCATTGAGAGAGACCCGAATATAGGAGCTTCTGACTCATATAACCACATGATAGGAAATGGCAACTCTAGTGATACAGCTGTTACCCGCCCACTTGTAGATGGCACATAAAGCATGCCACGTACCTGCATAAAGTATTATTAACAAAATCAACACGTCAGATCAAACAAACGCGCATGACAAATGTGCTTAAGCACAAGTCCAATAGGATAAACACTAATATATGGCGTCAGAAACAAAAATAAGGAATAATATAAAATCTCTTGGAAAACAGAAACATTTCACAATGACAAAAGAGCACACACCACATCAGCAACTGGTGCTCCATATATGCTTCCTCCGCAATTAATCTCAGAAATACAACAATGGTTTTTGTAATCTAGAGCATATAAATTATGATCATATGATCCACACCTGCAGACATTTGAAGTAAAGCATGAGATGATGCGGCTTTCGTATCACAAGAAATATCATGCATTGAATAATTCCAAAACAAAAAATCCTTTCGGTGATTCCTAAATTAAAGACTTCTAATTAATTACACGATAACCACACTCATGCAGGCAGGAACACAGGATAACATGCCAAGCTAATCATGGCTGCACAAGTAAATTTCTAGGGAATCCTTGAGGCATAGACTTTTCCTTGGTCAATATCATTATAGTTTATGGGCTAATAGGTAAGAACCCATTGATTCTAAACCCCCCACCCCCTCCTTCAATCTTACAGTCTAATTTTTAGTGCTGCCCCAATCAAAGCAAGGGGATGTCTACAAACTTTGCACCAGTCAGCAAGTAATGGCATTTGCATCACTTCATGCTAAAATATCAACATATATACCTTGATTTACAACATGAACTCACTACATCTTCAAGACAGAGCCCTTTTAAGCTGATCTACATGGTACCACATCAGGAAACACTAGAATCCATGATATTGTGTCATATATTGTTCTAAAGTCTTCATAGATAACAGGTTTCACTTAGAGTTTGCTTTGAACTTGTGAAATATTTTGGCATGATCACTCAACAAAACAACCAGATTTACTTGTTGTTCATAGACATACGAGATCATGCTCAGTGAAGATATTTATGATGCAAAACAAAAGTGGAGAGTTAATTGCAAACTATCTATAAAGAAGTGCCATAGAAGTGTATAGAAAACTAGTCTTACCACACAAGACCTCTGGATTTGTCCACTAATGGTTGTGACTTGACCTTCAAAACATCAAATATAATATTTAATCAAACAAATTGCAATAAAATTTGCATCTTTCAACTATGGTTGCACAACAAAACAAACACTTGAATTCATAGCATGAAACGTGTTGACATATGTCCACAGAAAAGTAAAGGAATAGATAAGTAATTAGGAGATAAAAAGACTGCAATTCATGGAGAATAGATGATTGAGTATCATTTAAAGAAAGTGAGGAAGAAAATAACAGAAATGATTTTAGAGTTTTCAAAATGAAGAAAGGACGGCTCATAGAGAAAGGTGGAGAAAATGAACAAAACGGAATGCCAAAAAATGAAAGCATTAAAGAAAGATGGAAGCAGCTAAATTAGGTCTAGGTCAGCAAAATTCTACAAAATAATATGGCAGCATCAAATGCATGCCATTTCTTTTCATTTTAAGAAACTTATTTTCCATTCATAAGGATCACTTATTCCTCTGTAAGTAATTGTCCTTAAGAATTTGTTATTATAAGCAGAAAAAATAAATGTTCTTGCAAATTCCCACAAAGAGATTTTATTTTGTGGGTTGAAGACATTTTTATATGATGCTTCATTGAAATCTTCATTTAAGAGAGAAACTAAAAATAAAGTAAATAATAGGGTTCATAATATGTGAATGACACTAAACACAATCAAAAGCTTTATAAGAATCAATCATTGTTCGCCCAAAGCAACAACAAGCAAAATAGCAACATTTAATCAATTAAGCATACCTCACCTCCGGTTTGGAAGGCCCATAAAATGCGCCCTGTCATAAAATTGATAAAATAAACCTTTCCTTTGTAGCATCCAACAACAATCTGCGCACAGTTCAAATTTGAATGAGATAAGGAAGATCATCACAGTCAATGCAAAATAACAAATTTCAGTAAATAGTCAAATAAAAATCCAGAAGTTATTTTATGATTATTACATAAAACTGTCATTAAAGGAAAAGTAAATATACCTGACAAAAATCATCAGTAACAGCAGCAGAACATTCAATTCTACCGTCTAATTCGACCTCCCACAAAACATTGCCACTGAAACCACCAAAGTGATATTTATTATTTAGCAAACAGCAAGTGCTTGCTTGTATGCCTCTGGTGTTTATAATTTGCATAAAACTTAGAAAAAATATATTTTGAAATACACTGTAAGGCTTAGAATGAGTGGAGTATTACTGGGCATCGATAGATACCAATCTTCATCAAGCAATAAATTGCTCATTGACATACTATCACAAATTGATAAACTAGAGTGAGTTTAAATGGGATATTGGGCATTGTGAATTGAACATAACAAATACATGGTCATAGTTTAATATAACCATGATTAACATGCCTATAAATTTCTATGCTATTTTGCCTAAAAAAATTATATGCAGTGTGTGTCCTCCGGAATTATTTATATTGTCATGCATCATTCGGTGTATTTTACAACTGAGGTGATATCTTTGATTTTTTACTTCATATAAGCTCCAATTCAGATGCTTGGTATCCTCACAAAAGGGTCAGCCCAAAGAAGATATAACTTCCCAGTAGACAAACTATCATTGCACAATACACCAGCACCAGGACATAGGGTTATTTACTCATAGCAGGGGTCTCTTCATAATCTAATGCAATGCTACAATTATTTCATGCATATTTGTAAGAGCATTTATACAATTTAGCCTCAAGTCACATATGCATCAGCCTGCAAAGAGCTTTCTCAAGCTTTAGTGTAAGCCTTTGACATGACACCCTTTAAATATCTGGAGGTCAACACCCGAGGGGGTTAAAGATGATGGATGCAGGGGGGACATATGACAGAAAGTCCTCTGAAAGTAATCTGGAAATTCAAAAATCAATTGAGTCAGAGGCGGGAAGACTTCACTATCATCAGTTATACCCTAGATTCCATACTAGATGAGAGGTGAATTAAGGTGTTAGTAAGCCCTTCTATGACAGAATACTGGAAGGGAGTCTCCCTACTTCCCTCTTCTCTTTCTCATTTAGAGATGGAGTTTCAGAGACAAATATGCAAGACACTAATGCAAAAGTAAGTGCTGGGAGCATATCTACAAAATATTTTCCTCCATAAAATTGCATGAGAGAAAAAACCAACCAGAAGCACAATCAAATGCTTAATTCTATTATCCAAATTTCATTTGAGAGAAACAGCAAGAGAGAGAAAATTAAGCCGAAAGGGCATCACATTAACCTAGACTTTCCCACTTTTTATGCATATAGTCTGACCAGATGATCGGACAGTATAGGACAATGGAAGGACCATGAAAAATGGATAGTTAAATATTGTTACGACTTCACTCTAGTCACTAGCCCCACCTTCGGCATCCCCCCCCTTGCGGTTAAAGTAACAACTTCGGGCATGGCCAGCTCCCATAGTGTGACGGGCGCTGTGTACAAGGCCCAGGAATTATTCAAACGGGTGTTATATCAGTACCTTCCAAATAACTGAAGTACAGTAGCCTGATTTACATCAAAAAAGGGTAAAGCATATGATCTTGCCAGTTCAGTATGGCAATCAGTACAATAAAATACCATAACTTAAAATAACCATAAGGAATTCAGCCATCATAAGTTCTTACAAGTCCTTCAAGGAAATAATAGATCTTACCTCAAAGCATTGACACATACAAAAATGTGCGAGTGAGAACCAATGAACAAGTAAAAATCACCATCCTTTAGCACCACCAATGGAGAAGCATCAACACAAGACCTCAGGTTAACATTCCACAGTTTTTCCATTCTACCACTTCTATCCTCTGGAACTTCAACTGACTGCCATGCTTGATTAACAACATTACTCTCAAGCTCTTCCTTAAACATGAGTTTATTGCAACGACTAAATGCAACCGAAGTCGGAAGACAAAAGCCAGAAACCCAAGCACTGTTATGATTTAGAAATCCACTTTCCCACATTCTAAAGCTATTACTCTGTTCGAAAGATTTACATGGAGCAGTGGCCTCCTTTCCAGTAAGCATTTTGAACTGATCTTTGCCAATTTCTTTCATCAAATCATGCATGCCTTCACTGTTATCTGCTTGGTAAAATTTATCAGGCAATCCGTTATTGTTTAGATTTGAGATCATGCCATAGGAATATGGAGTGTCCTCCTCTCGTAATTTCAACGATCTTTTTGAAAAATGATATGATATATCATTTAGTGATCCTTTCTGGTCTTCAAGAGCATTTAAAAGCATGTGAGGGCTTGGAAACTTGTAAAGAAATCTCATATCAATGCCTAAATTATGGGCAACTTGTGCAGCAGCAATTGAATTTCCACCCATGGCAAAGAAATCATCATGATATCCAATTTCTTCAATCATAAGGGCAGAACAGAAGGCCTACAGAAATTGCACACAAATATATATCAACTAGGAGGAAGTCACACAAAAGCCAATCTAATGCATGTGGCCAACAATGAAAAAGACAGAAACAGGAAATGAGAATCTATAGAGCCAAACCAACAGTAGAAGAGCAAAAAATTGAACCTTTTTGATGATTTGCAAAGGTTCATGGTCACTTGCATCACTCACAACTTCAACTCGAGTTCTCTTTTTTCCAGGAATTGACCTTATCAACAAATCATAATATATTTTTCCCGAGGAAGATAGGGGCAAAGATTTAACAAACAAAAACTGGCTAGGAAGCATTCCAGATGGAAGCCTTTCGGCCAACCATCTTTTTAAAGAAGCCACTAGTCTATTAGAAACCCCAAATATATGAACGTGATCAAACCGCTCTTCCCAAAAATCATTTATAGTCGACCCATCCATTTCTTTCCATACAATAAAAGCACTAAGACTGAAATTCTGCCTTCTATGAGAAACCACTGCAACATCAACCACATCAGGATGGTCCCTCAAACTATTCTCAATCTCCTCTAAACCAACTCGTTGCCCGTTAACTTTGACTAGACGGTCTTTCCTCCCCAAGAAAACATAATCACCACAGGCAAGCTTCCTAGCATAGTCACCAGTTCTAAAGTAGATTTGAGCTCCATTATTCTTGGTAGAAGTACCATGAGGGAGTTTACAATCTAATGACAACTTTATAAAGTCTGAAGATGTATTGTCGAAATCAAATAAATATCCAACCGAAAGACAAGAACCTCCAACCCAGATTTCCCCTTCATCTGGCACATTGATTCTCCAACTAGTATAACCTCACAACCAGAAATAGGAATCCCAATTGGAACACTACTCAGCATCTCAGTCTCTAACATTCTGGGTAAATTTTTGCAGTCAAAAAATGTACAGTCTCCAGAGACCTGAAACATCCAATTAGGTTCATATTAGCATTGACACTGAATGCGTAGAAAAGCTTCAGAATCTGCATATTACATGATACAGACATTCAGGGATGGGCCACTCATTGGTTTATGCACTCTAAGATCCATGGATGAGTCCACTATAAACATGTAAAAACTACAAGATTTACATTTTTCCCGCTAAGAAAATACTTATTCAGCCAACAAGATTTAAAGGTATGTTCTTTCAACTGCAGGGCATTCACTACAAAGTATTGCTGCAATCATTTAGGTTATTCATCACAGAATATTTAGATGCTGAATGAGAATGAGAGCTCTGAGAAGTTGAAGCTTAGTCATATAAGTTTAGTCATAATCAATAATGGAGATACATATTTTGAGTATAATAGCAAAATGGCTACAAATAATGAGCTACAATAAGAGAGAATAAAGTAGAGAGAGAACTTAGTTGTAAAGTAATGCTCTGATAAGCATGAGATGACACAGTAGCTTTTAATTTTAGCCTAGATGCAGAAATGGGTAACTTATAAAGAGTGTGATTGTAGCAGTCTCAGAGATGGAACTTGACTAGAACATATGAAGCAGTATTCTACCAACAGAGAACATATATGCAATACAGAGAATACGATTGACAAGGTACTATCTTTCGTATAGCAGAAACAGAATAATTTATTTTCCTTATTAACCATAGCTTGCCATTTCCTCAATTTCTAAGAATATAAAAAGCATCAAGGAAATGAAAAGGCTAAAGGAAAATACAAGTGTGTTCAAATTCAGTGAGGGATTAAAAATGAACATGCAAGAGGGCAACATGTGTAGACCAGGGATCTGACCTCTGTACTTCCATAAATATTTAAAACTGAAGTGTGAGGCAATAACTCATGAATGTCTTTCCACAAAGATATGGGAAACACTTCTCCACTAAGCACTAACATTTGTAACGAATTCCATATTGGCCTTCCACGTGAACATTGCAGTACAGGAAGAAATGCCCTCACAAGAGAGGGAACAGCAATTAGTCTTGTAATATGGTATGCCTGCAAATGCAACAACGGTAATAATTTATATATATATATATATATATTAAGTAAAGGTTATGATTGAGTAGTGCTGCAAGAGATAAGGTTACAAATAATAAGCAAGATACCTTCATAATATTTATCAAAGAAAATGGATTGGCCTTCAATTGATCAAACGGAGGCACTATCAAAGGTGCACAAGTAAGGATGGCACAAAGGATTTCCTGTATATGGTCAATAAAGCTGATGGACGTCTTGAACAATAAAACTTCTTTTTCATGGAGCGGATAGAAAGCCTTCATCCACAAGAAACGATTAATAAGACCTACAAGAAATAAGTACCTTAGATATTAAAATAGGCGTGGAGCAAAGACCTACAAGAGATAAGTAACTTAGATATTAAAATAGCCGTGGAGCTTAGAAACTGCATTCAAAATTTAAAAACAGAAATAAGGGTAGAGAGGGGGCCAGCTGTGTTTGAGGATGGGCGCAGAGGACCCTTGAATTGGAGAGTTGGAGGAAAGGCTCTAAGCATTTAAAGCTAATTCTCGAAGTGGTACATAGAAGTTTTCTCTTCTCTAAATGTTTCCTAGTGCACAAAAGTGTTCTGTATCAAAGCTCAATCTAAAACAGTGGCAATTCTCTTTATACATTAAATTAGAGGCAAATTGGCATCTTCGTAACTTTCTAATCTGGTTCTAATATAATGAGCTCTCTTGGGATTTTTTACCACCATATCAAGTCATCAACATAATAGGCCCATACCTTTTTCGGTACCACAAACACCCTTAGGCATACCCGAAGATCCTGATGTATACATAAGATAGCAGAACAATCTTGGATTTGGGCTCTGACAAGGCCAGGTTATATCACACTGATGGATTTCCTCTTGAGGCTGTCCCTTGACAAAATTATTTGGCAAATTCAAAACAGGGCACCTTTTGCTAGCAAGTAACCAGTCTACACTATCTTTTCGGCCAGCTTCTGTGTTAGAAGGAGATTTGTAATTCATAATGAGACAAGCCTTTGAAGAAGAAATAATGGATAAAATTCTCTGTTTCGGCCATGTAGGATCAATAGGCAAGAAAGCCACTCCACTCAATAAAATTGCAAGAATCACAACGATATACTCTACAGAAGGGGCAATGTGAACCCCTACTATTCGTGGGTGATCATTCAAAGGAGATATTATGCTGTCTTTGGCAGCCTTAACGGAAACATTTGATTCCAAAATGTGCATGATATGAGCTCCTTGAGACTCGGGTTTTTGCTGGGAATCTTGAGACGCATCTAATAGTTGACCATCTGAATTCCCTTTGCCTCGAAAATAATCTGCAAATGAGACCCAAATATATCCAAGTTAACGAAATTAGAGCCACCATTTCAGTAATTTCTCTAGAGCAAGGTTCATAGGAAATGTCCTTCCATTTTTTATGAATCTTATGAAAATATTAATAGTTATTGTTTTGATATTATTTCCATAAACGGGCCCCCTAAAATACATATTCAGAGCAAAATATTCCCCAATGGACACTTGAACTGTGCCTTAAGAGGAGGAGGAGGAGGGATGGGGGGGGGTAGGGGGGGTGGGTGGGGGCCTCACATTAAACACTTGGAGGTCACCTTTATCTTTTTCTTCTTCTTATAGGTGGAGTGAGAGCATATGGGTCCATGTTTGTCTGTGTATGTGTGTGACTGTGTGAAAGGGAGGCCCCGCATTGAATAATTAGAGGGCATCTTCTTTTTCCTCTTCTTCTTATATGTAAAAGGAGAAAGCACATGGGCCTGTGTGCGAGAGATACACACCTTGATCCCTTAGGAAATTTTATAGGTCTTAACTAGTATTTTTTTTTGTTTTTAAGGGAGTATTTTTTTAGTGCCACTAGGCACGTAGGGATTTGGGGGGTAAGTAGTTGTAAGATCATTTGATGCCAGAAAATAAACAAAAATCCCAATCTTTAACTATCATTGTGAAATAATTAAGTCCACTGTTGAGTTTAAGTAACCAATTAAAATATAAGATTAGGGATACGGGGGCCTATGTGAAAGGGGTGTGAGAGTTCCATTTACTACAAGAGTATCATGTTAATACTTCAATACATGAAGTTTCCTCTTGTATGACATTGCATTTGCATTTTTGTTGGCATTGATTTTTGTATAACATACTTCCAATCTCTGTATATTAAGTTCCACTTGCTATAAGAATATCACAAGAGGCAATTGACACTTCAACCCGTGAATGTTCCTTTTGTATCACATTGCATTTGCTTCTTTTTTCTGGGTACTGATTTTTGTATAACACCCTTCCAATCTCTGTATATACTACATGTGTATGTGCAAATAACAAAGAAGAACAGAGACAGAGGAAATAAAAAAAGAGACAACGAAGTCAATTACACACAAGATGAGAAAGAGAGAAAGGTAAGGAACCACTCAAAGAGTTTTCCTAACAGAAAAACAAGTTTAGAAAGCCATTAAAAATGTTAACCACGGAGAGAGAGCACAATACAAAAGCTAAATACAGAGAGAAACCAATGTAACAAGAAACATTCAAAAGCTTACCTGAAACCCTGATCAAATCAGGATCATCGCCCCCATCAAGAACTCGAGATATCCTCTTGCTCAACGACCTAACAGCCAACAAAATCTCTGAGAAAGTGAAGCATTCATCGCCAGGATAAACTGCCGAAGAATTAGGGGAATTTTCATGGCCATCAAATAACTCATCACGTTCAATATCATCTGCTTCACTGGTTGATGGGTCTGGGGAAATCGTAAAGTGAGAACCGCCACGGGCGTGGATGACTGCGACCTTGTTAGGGCAAGAAGAAGCCGCTCGAAAAAAAAGGTGGGAGATGCAACAGAGACCACCTTCATCTTCAGAGGTAGCCATGAATTAATGGTAAAGGATTCACTCTCATTCTAACTCGACCTGTAACGCCATGGACACTCTCTCATCTCCACGATGTCTTAAATCAAATGGCAAAACAGTGGACTCTCTTTCCCTCTCACACGTCTTATCGGAGAGAAAACAAGAGCGTGTATATTTGCAACATCCATGATGGAACTTTGAGGGTGCGGACAAGGGGTCTGTGTACTTAATCCAAAAGTCGTGAATCGGCGGTTCGGATCGGCCGAATCGGTCGTATGAAAAAATTTGAAAGAAATATTTATAAATATTATTTTTAATAAATCAAATAAAAAAACTTTCATGTTTTTCATTCATATGTGAATGCTAAGATGTTCCGTATAAATTTATGTTAACTATTAAATTTACATCACACAAAAAAAAATCATATAATTATTATGGATGAAATATCTTACAATATCATCTAATTTAAAATATATTATTGATAATTATAAGAAAAAATAATAATTTACATTAAGGTTTAAAAAAACGGATCGGTGCTTTTTAAACACTGACATAATTCAAAAAAATAAAACATTATTTTAAAATGGGAAAAGTTGATATAAGGTTGCAACCTTAAAATGCAGAATCACAGATATACCTCAAACATCATTTGAAAATATTGTTTTAATGTTAAAAAAACCCTCTAATCAATCATCTCAACATCAAGATCTATGAATATGAAAAAAAAAAAAAAATTGGATCTCGTAAATAGTTTATCTTACAACACATTATCTAGACTGTCAATTTTCAAGATTTTTATATATTTATAGATCTACTTGATTTTTACCATTTTTGGAATTTAAAATTTTATAATTAGGTACGAAAATAGATTTTAAGATAATACTAAGAATTTTTTACAAAAAAATTACATATTATGATAAAATTTTAAGGTGCGCCTTAATCGGATTGTTTAAGGTTGCAACCTTATAGAAACCTCACCTTTTAAAAATAAGAACAAATC